CTGGTTTCCCTCCCTGGGCTCGGCTTTGCCCTCACGGCCCCTTCCCCTTCATGGGGTCCCGTCCCAGGCTCGGCTCTGCCCTCATGGCCCCTTCCTGCCCATGGGGTTCCTTCCCAGGCTCGGCTCTGCCCTCATGGCCCCTTCCCCTCCATGGGATCCCTCCCCAGGCTCGGCTCTGCCCTCACGGCCCCTTCCCCTCCATGGGATCCCTCCCTGGGCTCGGCTCTGCCCTCACGGCCCCTTCCCCTCCATGGGATCCCTCCCTGGGCTCGGCTCTGCCCTCACGGCCCCTTCCCGCCCCTGGTTTCCCTCCCCGGGCTCGGCTCTGCCCTTCCCGCCCCTTCCCTCGCGTTCCCGCCCAGGCACCGCCCGCCCTCACGCCCCAAAATGGCTGTCGGCCTCTGAGGGGATCGGTCCGAAATTAATGTATTTTTATGAAGTGTTTCTGTTTGTGGGTCATCTACAGGCTGGTCACGTTGCAAAGTGTGGAATATGTAACATTTCCTTAAGAAAGGATGTTCTGTGATGTTTGGTCTTCGTATACTTTCAGGCGTAATCAACAAGAAGTGACATTGAATCTGTGAAACAGCAGCTGACAAGCTCCAAGTGATGCCCATATATTAAAAAAACCCAAATGGATTGTTGGTAGAATTGTTAAGGTTAGGGCTGGACATGTTTCTCTGCTCTCAGACCTGGAGGAGTTTAACAAAGCTTGGGAAGGATGAACCATAGATAGTGGGCACAGGGAATGCAGGATTTATGGACCACAAGGACATCTGGCAGAACTCCCAAGATTAGGAAGAAATTCACAAAAACAACTCAGTAACTGTGCTGAAATCAGCACTTGTGGAGGAGCACTTCCCTGTCCTTCCCTAAGCTCATTCTTCCCAAACAATTTGTGGTTTTCTGGGTTATCATTTCTAATTTCTCCGATCCTTGTTGCATTCCTAACTGTGGTATTCTCCTATTTTAAATCCACTTCTATGAGCCTTGTACTGCTCCCACCCCAGACCAACAAAAAATATCTCTTTAGATCTGTTTCATACTGCTGTGGAGTTTTTTTGTCTTAACATAAAAAACCCAGAGGAGTTTCAATCTTGACATGAGGCCAAAATACCTGGGATAGAACTCGGACCAAATCCATCCCCATGCAAGGGGAACCAAACCTGAGACCTCAAAAAAGAAATGGCCTCTCTAAAGGCCAGCAAGGTGCCCATTTGTACTGAGATGCTTTGAAAGTTCCTGTCTGAATTAATAAAGATGATAATGAAAATAGGGGAATAAAGCAGAACTGTGAAAGTACACTAATCAACATTGGTGGGGTCAACATGGGGTCAAGGGATCACCTTCCTTTTGCTGGAAAAAAATTCCTGTTCATCTTACATCTGCTTTTAGGGTTCCTGTATCTCCAGGCAGGATAACTTGCCTGTGGCAAGGCTTCACTTTGGCCATTCCCTTTGCCTGAATCCCATCATTATTAGGGATTTTCAGAGCAGATTTACAAACAGTCATTTCTGGTGTTTATGGGGTATTTCTAAACCATCATTGCTGGTGTTTATGAGGTATTTATTAGCCACAATGAAATGCTGGCTAGGAATGAGTAGCTAATTCGCTCTCTGTGCTAGCCACTTCTGCTCAGTTATCCCGTTTTCAGATATTTTCCAAGCTTTCCGATGGTTCTTTCTAAGAGGTGTTTTATTTAAACCTCCAGATCTAAAGCCTGAAGCTGGGATTGATTTCCTATAATAGGCTCTGACAAGGGAAGAACTCTCAGAGCTCTTGCACAGTGTGGTGTCAGGTGCTAAGTGGGAAGCAGACCCGTGACACGTCCATGTGCCCACCACGGATCAAAACCTTCCCGAAATAAATCTGTTGCTGCTCATTGCTTATTTTACCCCAAAAAGGGCACTGACGCTGTCCCATCGTGGGGAGCAGGTGACTCATTAAAACCAGAACTGGAGCTCATCTCCATCTCCATTTCCTGCCATTCTGTCCCCAGCAATGCACCCAATCCTTTATTGGCATCCTAAAATCCCAGAGAACAGCTTTGGGCTGCAGGATTTGGGGTGGCAGAGGGGACGCGTTTCAGTGGAGGAACACTTCCCAGTCCTTCCCTAAGCTCACTCTTCCCAAACCATTTGTGGTTTTTCCCAGTTATCATTTCTTATTTCTCTGATCCTTGTTGTTTTCCTAACTCTGTGGCATTCTCCTATTTTAAATCCACTTCTACCAGCAACGAACAACACACGAATTATTTGGGGGCTGCTGGAAGTGTTTTTAAAGAGGACAAGGAGGAAACCCCAGCAGCTCCCTGTCCCAGTCTCAGGTGAGCTTTTCCCATCCCTGCCTGTTCCCATTGTGTCCCTGCGCAGCCACAAGGACACACCAAACCGCAGGGACAGCCCGGACCCCGAGCAGCGCTTTGCAGGCACCTGTGCCTCCTACACATCACCGAATTCCACCACGAAATTTCACCGAATTCCCCACTTTTCATTGAGGGGATGGCTGGTTTGCGTTCAGCGCTGCCGGAGCCGGGTTCTGGTGGCAGCAGGTGGCAGCAGAGCCCTGCCAGGGCAGGGTGTGCCCGGGAAAGGACGGTGTGACAGGGGTTGGCGCTTCTACGGGCACTGAAATCTCATTTATTCGCTCTTTTGACATCCATTAGGTCACAAAGAGCTGCACTGCCTGTGGCCTGGCTGGAGCGGGAACGGAGCCACAGACTCTGCCTAAAGCTCACACCCGACCCTCCCTCAGGTGAGGTTTTATCAAGGGGACTCCATGCTCTTGATACTGAACTTTGGCTGTTTTCATCAAATTTTCCACTATTCTCTAAGTCAAAGAATTATGGCATTGTTTAGGTTGCAAAAGCCCTCTCAGACCATTGAGCACAGTCATTTCCCCAGCACTGCTAAGGCCACCAGTGTCCCATGTCCCCAAGTGCCACATCCACACACCTTTCAAATCTCTCCAGGGATGGGGACTCCACCCCTGCCCTGGGCAGCTGTGCCAGGGCTGGACAACTCTTTCCATGAAAAAAATTTCCCAAATATCCAATCCAAACCTCCTCTGGCATCACCTGAGGCTGTTTCCTCTTGTCCTGTCACTTGTTCCCTGGGAGAAGAGACCAACACTTTTTTTAAAAATTTATTTTCCCTGGATTATAGACAGGAGTGCAACATGGGGAGAGCAGGCTCCAAGCAGTGGGCAGCAGCACCTTGAAATATGGCAGCAAATGGAAGGTGATGCCCAAATCAACACTGCAGTGGGGTGATGGCCAACACACAAAGGTCACAGCACAGCTGGGACAGCTCCAGGGCTGGCAAGCAGGGACAGGAAGGAAAACTCTGCAGGGTTGTTCAGTCTTAAGGCTCTGGGGAGACCTTAAGAGCCCCTTCTCATAATTAAACGGGCTCCAGGAGAGCTGGAGAGGACTCTGGATGAGAGTCTGTAAAGGGGAATGGCTTCCCACTGCCAGAGGAAATGGGAGATGAGGAGAAATTCCAACAACAAATCCATAATATTGTGTATTTTATTTAAATTAACAAAACTACATGTTTTCCAGGTTGCTTAAAGCATTCTGTAAAAACTGAACTCAACCTAAACAAACAAACAAAAAAGATATATTTTAATAAGACCCAGGGACTATTTCCAAGACATATGAGTAGGGCTGAGGAATGAAGAAATAAAAAAACCCACACACACACACACACACGCACACGCGCCCCGTAAACGAATTGTTAGTGTTTGACACAAAATTTGGTTTGAAAGCTGCAGCTCCCTGTTCGTGGGGAGCCTTTACAAAATGCAATGCTATAGTCTAAGCTGGAAAAGAACCCACGGACACAGCTATGGGAACAACATAAATATCACGTAAGAACCCAAGGGAAAAGGGATGGTAAAGTTGCAAAGTCGAGTGTTCAGCTGGGAATGTTCCAGGGTTTACAGGGATGTGAGTTGATTTAATTCACTTTGTAATGGAGTAATTGCTACGACTAGGAACCTGCTTGGACCTGCTTTGCCTCCAGGGGCAGGGGAAGCTGGGGATCCTGGGGAGGGCAAACACAATAAAAGGAATTGCTTTAAGAAAATCCAACAGGAGCTCCAATTAATACACAGAGAAAGGGGTCTGCCCCCTGTGGCACAGCCTGACTGGAGGAGCCCCATGTGATGGTGCACAACTTGGGGTGCCCAGCAAACAAACCCAAGGTGATGTTGTGGTGCCACCCTCTCTTTTTTTCGTAGTGCTGAGCTTTAATAAATGGATGAGGGTAAATGAATGAATCCTGGGGTGGGAATCATTATGGTACCTGGAATTGTGATTGTACCTGGGCTGACAAGGAAGGAGTTTCCCCTCTCTGCCTCCTCTCTAACCCTTCAGCAACACACAGCAGCAGCAGATTCTCATTTGTAGGGCCAGAACTGGGAGGGTGTTACATGTTACCAGCAGTTCACACAGACATTGACACTCCAAGCCATGGAAGGTGAGCCCTGAGCAGCGCAGACCCTTCCCCACCATTCACTTCTCTGAACTGGTCCCAGCAGGGCTCAGCTCAAGCCTCCAGGCCGGGTCAGTTCCCACTCCCCTCTGTTTGCCAAAGGCCTCCCAGCACGGGGCTGAGCGAGCCCAGCGCCGGTGCCTGCTCTGGGAAAGCAAAGATCCACATTAGTGCGTGACCAGCGGATCCTTTCAAGTCTGATAATCCCTGGAAGAATCCAGCTCTGCTCCAGCCTGGCAGTGCACAGAGCGAGACTGCCCGGCTCCCAGGAATGCCCTGTAACAAAAGGGGGAGGTGGAGGAAGCCACAAAAGCACGGGAAGCCAAAGGGACTGAGAGCAGGGAGGAGCTGGCTGTGGGATCAGCCAGCTGGCAACTTGGGTCAGGAGCGCTCTGTTCTCCTGCAACTCAGCTCAGCATCCAGGCTGGACATTCCCTGTATTCAGCAAACAGCTGTAAAACCTGCTGAGAAAGCACTCAGTGCTTCTACTAAAGCTTTACTAACAGCCTGCTCCTCTCCCAGCTCTGCTCCATGCAGGGACAGAGGGCGGCTGCACCAAAGACTCAGACAAGGGTCAATACAGCTACAGTGGTGGAATTCAATGTTTTTACAACAAGGTTTCCCCCCCCGTCAACCAACACCTGCTGCACACAGGAGCAAACCCAGAGTACTGAGCACGTGCTCCTGCCTGAGCTCCCTGCAGCACCTTTATGCACCAGCACACCCAGCAAAATCAAACCAGCCCCACGGCAGCTCTGCCCCGGCCCCACATCCGACTTTGCAACCTCAGTGCCCTTCCAGCAGGGTTTTACGTGTAACACAATATACACAGCCCTCCCCCCAGGAATAACTACACCATAGTAAAGAGTTACAAATGTTCTGCTCGCTGTGGCTGCTCTGTGAATGCACCAGGGACGGGGGGTGCTCGAGAAGCTGGAGAGGTCTCCAGCCAGAGGGACTCGTGTGTCCCCTGCTCCCCAGCCCAGGCCTGTCCCTGCTGAGGCACCTCCGTGTCACTCCTGAGCCTCCTTCCGAGCCAGCTTGTAGACCTCCGTGGGCCCGTCCACGTGGGTGATGGTGGTGGTGAGCTGCAGCTCCTCCCCGCTGTTCACCCCCAGGTCACCTGAGAAACAAAGGTGTTCCATCAGTGCAGACTCACAGGAAAATATGGGAGTATTCCAAAGGAGAAGATACAGTTTATTCCCTCCGGCCTTTCAGCTGCCTAAGCCACGGACAAGCGACTTTCCTATAAATTATTTTATTTATAGTTATTTAAATAAAAGCACAAGAAAAACATTGAGGGGCTATAGTGTGTCCAGAGAAGGGAATGGAGCTGGGGGAGAGGCTGGAGCACCAGGAGGGGCTGAAGGAGCTGGGAAAGGGGCTCAGCCTGGAGAAAAGGAGGCTCAGGTGGGACCATCTGGCTCTGCACAACTCCCTGACAGGAGGGTCTATTTTCTCCACTCCTCATCCCTCCATCTGAGCTATGCAATTCCATCTGGGCAATGCTAAAAGGCACAAAAACCATCCCGAGGGCTCCAGCCAGACATGGCTAAAAGTCAAACCTGTCTAACCCAGCCATTAATTCAAATGCCTGCTTGGAAACCCAAACCATCATTTGCAGAACTTTTCAAGGCGCTGAGTGTGCACTGGAGCCAAAACAAAAGGCACACACGGCATCCCCTGCTTTGTACCTCTTTGTCCCCACGAGAGCCCTCGGGTCATTTGGGGACATTTACCATTGGACTGGTCTTCACCGTAGTTCTTGTGAGATGGAGCATACAGGAACATGAGGGCAAACACGTAGAGGTTCCACATCCCATAGATGCCGGTGAAGAAGGCGCTGTTCACCTGGATCGTGATGTCCCCCCACTTCCAGTGGCCTTCTGTCACCTGGCCAGAGAAAACAGACACAGACAGGCCATCAGGGAGAGCAAATTCTGTAAAAACAGCCTTGGAGTGAATCGGTGAGAACAGCACCAGCTCAACAGGATGGAGGAAATGGAGTGGAACAGGTTCAGTGAGGCAGAAGTCAGGCTGGGATTCTCCTCTCCAGACTCAGTCTGCAGGGAAAAGATGCTCCTGACAAAATGATTCCCTCAGGACTTCTTCAGCTCTGATATCTCATTTACTGTGCTGCCATACCCCTGCCACAAGCATGTGCTCAGCACAGATTGGCACACAAAGGGCACTACCTGGGGACACCACTGACATCCCAACACATCCCACTGCTAAAAATAGACCTTTCCTAGCAGGAAAAGCAGCGTGAATAATGGGGGAATTGATGTGCTGAGCACGGCTGGCTGAGGAGGAGCCAGGCTGACAGCACCAACCTGCCACACGCTGAGGGCTGTCAACAACCATGAAAATATCATCAATATTAATATTCCTTGAAGATACACAGACTGCTCAGACAACGTTGCTTTCTGTTAAAGAACAACATAAAGGCCAAGAAGAAAATTAAAGAGAGCCATGGAGATGCTTTGAGGGCTGGAGCCCCTTTGCCATGAAGCCAGGCTGGGAGAGCTGGGAGTGTTCACTTGGAGAAGTGAAAGATCCAGGGAGAGCTCAGAGCCCCTGGCAGGGCCTGAAGGGGCTCCAGGAGAGCTGGGGAGGGACTGGGGACAAGGCAGAGAGGGACAGGACACAGGGAATGGCTTCCCACTGCCAGAGGGCAGGGCTAGATGGGATTTTGGGCAGGAATTGTTCCCTGGCAGGGTGGGCAGGGCTGGCACAGGGTGCCCAGAGCAGCTGTGGCTGCCCCCTGGATCCCTGGCAGTGCCCAAAGCCAGGCTGGATGGGACTTGGAGCAGCCTGGGATGGTGGAAGGTGTCCCCTGCCCATGAGCTGGGCTTTAGGGTCCCTTCCAGCCCAGTCTGTGACCCCATGATTCAAGCAGTGATCAAAGCTCATTGGTACCGAGGTGACACCAGAGCTCAGGACAAACAGGTACAGCCACTGCTGGGCACGGCAGGGCTGCAGAGTCAGCCCAGGGAAGGTTGGATGTTTTCACATCTCCATGGGCACACAAAGCCAAGAGAGTTTCAGTGTGAACAGAACATTTTCCTCTCGCTGAATTCTCAGAAATGACCAAAACCTGTTGGCCAATTTCACAGCCCCAACATTTCCCAGGGGCCAGGGGCCTTCGTGCCAGCTCCAGCCTCGGCAACTGCATGGCACAGCTTCAAAGAAATGAGAAACAACTTCTTCAAAAGCAACTTGTTATCAAAGGAGCTCAGAACAGGCTGGTCCTGTCTGGGCAGTGATGAGCAGTGTCAGGAGAGGCTGATGCTGTCCCAGAGCCATCCCTCACCTGGCTCACGATGAAGAAGATGACGGTCATGGCTGCACACGCCAGGGTGATGAGCATCAGGAACTTGAACCTAAAAATCAGCCCCTGTTTAGAGAGAAATGTCACTGGTCACATTAACAAAATCCACAAAACCCATTTTTGGGTTATAGGATAGACAAGACACGAGGATAAAAAATAAAAAAATAAAACAAGGGTCCAACCCACGAAACCCCAAAGCAAAACAACCTCCACCCACTCGTGTGCCGTGCCCAGCACTGCCCATATCCTCCCCTCCCCACACGTCTGCAGGGTGGGCACGTCTGGACAGCTCTGCCTTTCCATGACATCTGCTCAGCGACTGATTGAGCTGCAGTTAATTAAGTGGAAGAGGTGGCACGTTTGGCTGTTTTTAGGGATAATTTTGGGATAATTTCGAAGTGAATTTGGGTGAACTTTGAGGTGAATTTTGGCCGTTTTCGGGGATAATTTAGAAGTGAATTTGGGTGAACTTTGAGGTGAATTTTGGCCGTTTTTGGGGATAATTTTGAGGTGAATTGGTGAATGAGCCAGGCTGCAGGGGAGGATGGCTCATGGCTCTTGTAAAACAAACACAAGTGGTCGGGTCAGTGTCTCAGTGTGGGCTCACCACACTCATCCTCACCCCCAGCCCGGCTGGGAAGGAGCTGCAGCGATTCCAACGTCTGGAAAACCTGGCTGGCTATCAGAGAATGGAGATTCTGAGATGAACTCCTTGGCTGGCAATCCCACTGCCCACCACCACCCCTGCTTTCACTGGTTTTACATTTTTACTTACAAATTCTTTTGGTTTTGGGTGAGTGCGTGGGTTTTTCTAACCTGGCTCTGGAATTTAGGTGGAAATGTCAGTGTCTGCGTAATTACCCTGCCACACCACGACAACAAAAGACTATTAATTTAACTCTTCCACACCAGATCCCTGCTCCCCAGATGTTTGGATGTGGAGTGTGGCAGAAGCAACTCTGCACCACAAGCTGAACCCCCCTGTGCCTCCTGCTAGAGGGAGAAACACTCAGTATCTGCTTCAAATTCTTTCAAGTCCAATTTTCTAATTTTTTATGTGCATTCCTGATGGGTGATAACGACTTGTTTAAAGAGGGAGTGACCATAATTTAACAGAATGACTTTGGGGATAAATATTTGCACCCCTGTGGAAGCAGGGTAAGCACTGAGAGTGAGCTCCTCAGGTTTGGCAGCAGGCAAATCACGTAGGAGAGAAAAACATACAAAATCATGGGCTAAAAATGGGGATAATGGAGGGAATGTGTTGTGCTTTGTAAGGAAACGACAACCCCAAAAATCCAAATTTATACCATGAAAAACCAGATGGTCTTAGCGAGACCTCCAATTAAACACAATAATTAATATTAGAGGAGGAGAAATGGAATTATGAGGAGGTTATGGATAAAGGGAGTCTCAAAACGGACTCTGAGGTCCAAAATGTTCTCTAAAAACAGAGAATCTGTGCCCCAAAGGGGCCCTTACCTCGTAGTGAAGGCGGCGAGCCTTGCTCATGGCAGGGAGGCTCGACTGCTTCCCACTGATGTTTCTGAACACTTGGAAGACCATGAAACACAGGAAGAGAAAATAGAGGCACAGGCAGATCCCTGCAACTATAATAAAGGCCATCTGTGCAGAGGAAGTTAAGGGAAAACAGCACACACTAACAAGAAATCCTAGAACACATTACCCAGGTGAGTCCCATATTCAGCTCCCCAGTGATCTCCTGCAGTGCCAAAAGCAGGGAGGTTGCCCACACCTCCCAGGGAGCTGGCAGGAGGGAGCACCTCCCTGTCCCACAAAGCAGGGGAAGGATACAGCCAGCTCCGTGCCCACCTCGGTGGTCCAGATGCTGTAGAAGGGGTTCTTGAGCTGCACTCCCCTGCAGAGAGGAGAGAAAACGACTGTCAGAGGGCTCAGAGGGCACCATGTCCACTCTGCAGCCTGGGAATCACAGAATCAGGGAATATCCTGAGTTGGAAGGACCCACAAGGATCATTGATCCCACTCCTGCCCTGCACAGACACCCCAACAATCCCACCCTGTGGCTGAGAGCGTTGTCCCAGTGCTCCTGGAGCTCTGGCAGCCTCGGGGCCGTGCCCATTCCCTGGAGAATGTGGGCAGTGCCCAGGAAGAACCTTTTCCCAGGGTTCTGCAGGGGAAAAGCCAGCTCTGCTGCTTTCCCATGTGGGTGAGGAGAAGGCGAGGTGGGAAATGTTTCCATTTTGGAGCACCCACAGGAGCCTCTCCTGGCTCTGGGAGATGGAGCTGTGGGGTGGAACTGCTGGTCCCTGCTGCAGGGGGTGAGCAGGGACCTCAGCTCTGGGATGGCCGAGCCTGGGGAGTGCAGCTGCACCCACCTCTCACACATGTCAAAGATGAAGAGGCAGAAGGAGCCCACGGCGATGGGTCCCACCTGCTTCCAGTACCCCGAGAGCCGATTCCGCTCGTTCTGGTCCTGATCACCAGGTGGGGAGGAGGAGAAAAAGGAAAAAAAACAAGTCAGCCTGAAATCCCCTCACCTGGTACAAGCCCCCACAGCATCATGTCCAACCATCAGCAAAGCAGCTGCCAGGTTTTCCTGGAAAGCACCTTGCCGTGGGTGTGGTACCCACCATCATGTGCTCCCCACAGAAGATGATCCAAAACGAGAGCAGCATGGCATAGAAGATGCCCTGTCGAATGTCCCCAAAGAGGAGCATCCAAGTCCAGTCAAATCCGATGGAAAACCACTCCACAGGGATGTTAATGAACGTCATGGAAATTCCCAGAGCAAAGATGACCCTGGAGAGGCACAAACACCATCCCTGTCCAATGTGCAAGGGAAGGACACAGCCCCAAAGCCAAAGCTGTGCATGGAGAGAACAGAAGGAAATCCAGCACTGCCTGGGAAGTGTCACCTCCTGCCACCAACACCCCTAGGACTGAGCTCCTCAGAGCAGCTCCTTTTACTCCAAGGGTTTAACAGGAAAGAAAAGAGAAGCTGTGGAGGGAGGGGATGGAGAAGAATCAATTCCTATCTCCCAACCATGGGAGCAATGACCTCAGTGGGGTCCCCTGGACCACCATGGCCCCCTACTCACTTCTCCAGCAGCACAGGAGCACGTGTCATCAGCGTGATCCTCCTCCAGTACCACACCATGATGATCAGAATGCTGGGTGTCAGGAAGGTCTTCATGGCAAACCACACCTTGGT